TATTGTTCCTGAGTCCTTTTATGTGTGCCTGAACTCACTCCAATTTTCTTTCCTCTGAGCTGATCCCCACTGCTGGGCTCTTAATGTCTGTTCCTTTTGTCTGCTCCAGAATCTGGGCTTTGCTCCAACACTGGTCCCCTTGCTCCTATACTTTCCATCTCCCTCTACTAATGTCTTCCCCTAACTGTATACACACATTCAAGCCTCTTTGTTTAGAAAATAATAAACCTCCCTCAAACCTCAAACACCCTCCAGTTACCATTATACCTTTCAGCTTTTCTTTCCACAAAGCTCCATAGAGTGCAGGAGGGACTTGCCATCTCTACTTCCTTGTCATTCACTCCTTTTTTAGCCTGTAATCACAAGACTTGTGATCTCAGTTCTCCATGGATATTTTATCGGAAAAACTGAGCCCTCATGTCGGGGGTAAGACCCGAGTTTTTCAAAAGGACTTGAATCTTACATAATGCACCTCTGCTCCACCACACCACCAGCCAGCAGGGCTCTACCCTTGGCCTCCCGAGCTCCATGGGCTGCCTAACAGCCCTGTCCCCCAGAGGAGACTCCCGTCTCCTTCAGGCCTAAACTCCCCCTGGCTGCAACAATGAGTATGGTCCCAGCTAAACACTCTGGCCTACCACTTTGTTGCCACTTTGCTCTAGGTTATTTCTGAAACTAGTGATCATGATCCCTGCCCATTCACCTTGGCCACCATCCTAAGTCCAAGCCTCCCAGATCATCCATCGTTCAAATGGCCATACTGCTCAGTCTGCATTTTACTCTGACTCTATCTCCTGCCCCTGACTTCCCAAACCTCCTGCTTATTGTGCTTTCTGGAATCAAGATCTGTCATCAGAAAAGTCAAGTTTGAGCATCACTAATGCAAATCACAGAAGTAAGTCAACAGGGTGGGCTAAAGGTCAGACTATGATCAATAATGATGTATATGCCAACTTCATACTTTGTGACTTTTTGAGGTCCCTCATAGAGGAATGGTTCAGGGCCCCCAGCCAGGCTCAGTTGGCAGCAACTGCAGGGCCTTGAGTGTCTTATATCAGGAAGCCCTGCTAGTCCATAGAAGACAGAGTCGAAGTGGATTCCAAGGAGAAGATGGCAAACAGAACCCCCCACTCCTTGGGGCCTAAGGCTGGGAGAGCCCCTCTCTGCCTCCTACTGCATACTAGAGGAAGAAAGATTCTCCTCCTGGGACCTTGCAGCCTACAAGAAGTTTGTTTCTGCCTTGGAGTTGAGTGCCGATAAGGCAAAAAGGAGGCAAATCAGGAATGTTGGGAAGGTGTTTAGGGCTGGGATAAGAATGCCAGCCACATAGGCAAGAGCTACTAGGGAGCAATTTACAAGTTCTGTGACAGTGGGACTTCAGGTGAGAGGAAAACAGGTTTGTCCTGAGTTTAGAACAACAAAAAATAGCATTTAATCAAGTGGTTACTAATAAGAGCTGGCATTTGTTTAGAAAGTTTCATATTATCATCAATGCATGTGTGTATGCATTTGGCACTTAGAAGTGTGCCTATGAGTGCCTGCTGAGCTGCTATGACAACTACTCCCAAAACAAAGACAACTCCTTAGAAGAGCATTCACCTGGCTGCTCATTTACACCCTCTGTTCCTGTCATCTTCCAGCCTTCCAGTAACTCCTCATTCAGGACTTTAACACCTGGTCACTATCCTCTTTTTCGTTGTGTTTCTGTCCTCATACCTGGGAACTTCAACATAAAGGTGTAACCTAGGTTTCCATGGTGGCCTCTTACCACTTTTCATGAGCACCCTTGCTAATATGATCTTCTCCCAGACTTCATTACTATTAATTAGTGAATTTCTTCCATGTTTGTCTCCAGGCCAAACATCTCTTCTGAGCTTCAGACCCATAAATCTAACTGGATAGCCCTACACAAATATTTCACGGAACCTCAAATTCAACTAGTCAAAATCTGAACTCAGCATCTTTCTCTTGCAAACCTGATTCTTCTGTTCTCACAATCTTGGTATATGGAATCAATGTTTAACCAGTCACCCATGCCAGAATTTTGGAGCTCATCCCAGATTCCTCTGCACCTCTTAGAAGTCATAGCATGTCAGTCACCACCTCCCTAAGCTGCACACATGGTTCATGAGTCCAGAGCTTCTCTGGTTCCAGAAAGTAAAACTGGTAGTTAAGAGGGCAAGTCCTGGAGTAAGTACCCCTGAATTCAAATAATAGCTTCTAATTTATACTGTACAATTATTGTCAAATTACTTAAGTTTCCTATTCCTTGGTTTTCTCATCTATAAAATGGATATATAGTAATATTGCTTACTTCATAACATTGTTAGAAGAATCGGCCGTTATGATATGTAAACTACTGGAACATAGTAAGTACTCGATAACATTTAGTGATGTTGATAATATCAACAAAGATGATGCCTCAGCAGTGCCTGTAGGGACAACAACAGGTATAGCCCCTAATTGTGGCTCCATAATAGAGGAACAAGATTTGGAGGCTATCAACTCTGGCTGGTGTGGTTCAGTGGATTGAGTGCTGGCTTATGAACCAAAAGGTTACTGGTTCGATTCCCAGCCAGGGCCCATACCTGGATTGCGAGCCAGGTCCCCAGTTGTGGATGCGCAAGAGGCAACCAAACATTAATGTTTCTCTCCCTCTCTTTCTCCTTCCCTTCCCCTCACTCTAAAAGTAAATAACTTTAAAATAAAGATTTGGAGGCTATCAACTGATTCTTAACCAATCCTTCTTTATTCAGTTCCACTCTACATCCCTGCCTCTAAAGGAACTCAGTGCCTCTAATTCCTAAGACTTTGTAGGTTCTGAGGGGCAAATTAGTTTGCCTCTTAGAGGTGTTCTCTCTGCAGGACTTTACCTTTAATGAATAGGCGCCTCACTCTACACATGCCTGTCCAATATGATAGCCACGAGTCACACATGCTATTAAACCATTTAAATGTGATTGACTAGTGCTACACATGTTAAACTAATTATATTTTAACATTATAGTGGGTTATAACAGTATAGTGGGTTAAATAAAATATTTATTTTACCTATTTATTTTCACTTTCTAATGTGGCTACTAGAAAATTTTAATTACCTGTATTATATTTCTATTGAATAATGTTGCATCTTGCAAAATTTTGACATTTCTTGTCTACTCATGTTTTCTCCCATTCTCTTTCATCTTAAAATTGATATGCTGTATCTCTTTATTTTCATTTTTGTAAGGTTTCTGGGGAAAGCAAAGATAAATGGGTGTATTCAATCTGTTATGTTTAACTGGAGATCATATGCAAGCTTCTTACAATCTAGCTCCTGCTTATATTTGTGGACTTATCACTTTATGTCCTGTCACCTACCCTCTGGCGCAGACAAAATGAGTTATTAATACTAGTTTTTGAAACACTCTAGGGAGCTTCAAGCTTTCATGTCTTTGCTTTCTTTGCATCCTTTTCCTGAAATACCCTTCTAACTCCTCCCACCTGTATGCCTAGCAACTTATTCTTCAAAAACTCACTCAAATTTCACCTACTCTCAGGAGCTTTTGCAGACTCTTCCTCTTTCCAGGTGTACTGGATTGCTCCAGAGTCCAAAATATTGGGTTGCCCCCTAAACCAAAAAGGCCATTACATTTTTTCCCATATGATGGCTCTACTAGTGCCTAGTTGTCTTTAACTTCATTCAAAACAATTTCGCTAGGTTGTATTGTGGCAGCTGTCACATCAGTGTGCCAAAAAACCCCTCATGAAAACTGGTGAATTTTTGTGCAGCCATTCTAACATTGAAGATGGAAGAAAATATGCAACGTTTTCAGTGTATTCTCCTTTATTATTTCAAAAAAGGTAAAAATGCCAAAAAAGATTTTTGCAGTGTGTGGAGAGGTGCTATGACTGATTGAACATGTCAAAAGTGGTTTGACATTTTGGCCAAATAATTCTTTGTTGTGGGGCTGTCTTATGCATTGGAAGATGTTTAGCAGCACCCTTGTCCTCTATCCACTAGAGGCCAACAGTGTAAGTTAGTCGACATACTCAAAACACCCAAATTAATAAAGTTATTGGTGAAAATGAAAAGTGTGTCTTTTATTTTATGGAAAAAAGCATACGGACATTTTGGCCAACCCTATATTTCTTGCACTTTCTTATTGAGATACCTATCTGCTCCATAAGGGAACCCATCTTACACATCAGACTCTTTAGTGTCATTTCAGGGTTCGATACATAGAGAGAACTAAAAGAATGTGTATTCAATAGATCAGTAAAGACAGTAAGGAAGAACTGCGGGGAGACAGAGGAAGGAGAGGCTAACTTAAAAAGTTTCACAAGGGTAGTATTTTCCAGCTGTTCTTCGAAGTTTTTAACAGGTGGAGATGACTAGGAATTTTCCATGCAGCTGGAACAGGACAAGTGGAGCAAGGACTATGCTGGTTAAATAGCAAATGATCTAGTTTGATGGGGTATTGGCAAGGCCAGGTGACACGGCTCCTCCAGGTCATAGAAAGGAGTTTGACAGCTGTTCTGAGGATACAGAGGAATTGAGACGTTTTACGCTGTGGAGAGAGATCATTAGACCTGAGATTTAGCATGATCCCCTTTGGCTGCAGATGGAGAATGGATGCGAGGGCCGTGGGGGTGGGGGAATCGGAAGATCGTGAGTTCCCTGAAGTAATGAGGAAATTGATGGTGTGGTCAGGATAGTAGTGGGCCTTGGTGGTCACGGGGGTGGAGTGGAGGGCACGAGTGTCGGCTATTTAGGTGGTAGGATGCATAGGTGCAGGTGTGGCATGAGGGGGAGGGAGGGGTTGCTCGTTTGTACACACGGGCATGCGGCGGGCAACGCTTACAGTGAAACCTCGCGGGAGCAGTAGACCGGCCCGCACCAGGGAGTGGGAGGTGCAGGGCGCTCGTGTCCCTCGCGCGTCGCCGTCGGCGCTGCCCACCGTTCGCTCCGGGGAGGCTGCCGGTGCTGCGGTTCCGCTTCCGGTTCGCATCTGCACCTGTGGTGAGGGCTAGTGCCATGGCGTACTCCACGGTGCAGAGGGTGGCGCTGGCCTCGGGGCTCGTCCTGGCTATGTCGCTGCTGCTGCCCAAGGTCTTCCTGACCCGCGGAAAACGACAGGAGCCGCCACCAGCACCCGAAGGTGAGAGCAGGTCAGCTTCCCTTGAGCCGCCAGCATCCCTGCTATGAGTAGGGAGAACGCTGCTCGAGGGAGGGGTGACTCCGGAAGCCTCTGGTCCCCACCTACAGATCCGCAGATCAGGCTAGGGAAGGCAGACCATTTGGGAGGTGGCGAACCCCACGGCTCCCCTGACATCGGTGGGCAGCGGGGGACTCCCCCGGCTTCCCGTCCTTACTGACCTTCAAAGGCCAGGAATCCGTGCTTCCATGCTGGGCACCCTCTAAGTGGTCCTCACACACCCGTTACTCGCAGCCCCTTCCCCTCCTCAGCGTATCTCAACTCATTCAGGTGCTTAGCTTCAGGAGGGCTCCCACTTGGGATCCCTTTTTAGGGTTCGTGGGTGCTTTCTGCTGTGCTTTTATATGTAATAAAGTCCATTTGAATTGGTGGTGGTAACCTTAATTAGTAATGTGTTTTTTCGTTTTTTTAGATGTTGGTTGCTGAGTGCTTCAGGCTCTTTTTGTGCATTTTAAAATATACAGGCAGGCCTTGTAGATGGTTCGCTTCCAGACCACCCTAATAAAGCGGAGAGCAGGGTGGAGGCTTTCCTTCAGTTTGTTTAAAAAAAAAAAAGGAAAAGAAAGAAAGATCTGTGAAGCTCAATAAAGCGAGGTATACTTGTAACTTGAAGATTTAATCCAAATGTTAATTACTGAGATGAAGAAATCACTACCGTCTGCTGACTTAGATAAGTGTTTATTTGTTAATCCTTTGTTGTTGGCATGATGTATGTGCCAATAACATAAGATTCATTATGTGGTGTTTAAAAATTCCACCCTGTTGGTTGCATTCTGGGACTTTTACATAATGAATGAGTGAATGTAAAAGTGGACACCAAAAGCTGGGACAGGGAGCTAGAACAATTTTCTGTAGGCATGAAGTTCTACTGTAACTCTGTCCTGTAAATTATCTCTGTAACATCCTAGAGATGTGGTTTTATAGTCTCTAAACACTTATGTTCAACCTGTTGATTATTGGACAGCTCCTTTTAAACTGAAATCCTCTTCCCTTTAATTTGTGCACACTGGCTGCAGTTCCACCCTCTTGCACATCCTAAATTTTAAATACTACAAATACAGAGAACTAGGCTCTAGAAGTGGCAGACAGATAGAATCTGCTCGGTAATATTTATACTTGCAAAAACAATTTACATGGAAGAGGTTCCCAAAAAATCTTTACATGCTTGTTCTTTTTCTGTTTGTTTTATTACAGAATCCCTAAGGTTTTACTTATTTGTCTAATGACATTGTCTGCCCTGAAGAGAAGTAAATTCATGGATGATCTTGCACAGTAAAGATTCTTCCAAAACAGAGTTTTACTGAATTGAATTCCCATTATGCTGAATTATCTTGAATATGTCCTATCTAATATGAGTGGGAGACACTCTTGTGAATGTCATAGAGTATAGCAATTAGGCATGGCTCTTTCCCTGGAGAATTCAAGTGCTGGTATTCAATGTTCTCATCTTAGAATCTGCACTTTCTGTTCTCTTTATTCCTGAAGCGTTCTTCCCTCAGCTTCCTTATCATTCAAGTTTCAGCTCATACGTGACCTTCTCCAAGAGACTTTCCCTAAGGAGCCTAGCTAAAATAATTCTGTCCACTCCCACCATTTCCTATTCCATCATGTTGTTTTATTTTCTTTATTGCAGGGATGACTATATGCAATTATCTTGTTTACTCATTTTTGTTGGTTTGTTTCTACTTTCTAGAATGTAAGCTCACTGAGAGCAGGGGCTTTGTCTTCTTTAGCACTATTTCTTTAGCACCTGGCTAAAGTAAGTCAGTACTTTTAAATGAATAATTTAAGATTACAAAGTTCCTAAATTGAAAATTCTCTTTTTGCATTAGTTGCTGAAGTAATATAATCTAGGCAGAAACTTATCTCGAATGATATATTCTGATAACTGAAATTTGCTAACTTAAATCCCTACCCTAGTATACTGACATTTTCAAAGTTGTGACTCCTAACCACTTTTAGGTTATATATCCCTTTGAGAATCTGATGAAAGTTATGGATTGTCTATCCAGAAAAATGCACATACTTTTTATGTACACATTGAGGATTTGAGTATCAATTCAAAGAATTCACAGAATCCAGAAATCTTTGCTTTGAAGAAAGGAGTAGCCTCCATTATTTGAAAATTCTTAAAATTTGTGCCATTGGATCTTCCATTTCCACCCATAGGAATATGTGAAAAAGCATAGTGTCTTTTCTGCATGACAGCTGTTAAAGTAATGTTTTAGCAAATATTTATGATGTACCCTTTCACTTAGAATACACAGTGTACAGATACTGCAGATTCCAAGGAAAACTAAGCCAAATCTCTGCATGAGGAGCCCACAGCTTCTGGAGGAAAACAGACAACAACTAAATGCAAAAAGTGTCAGGTGTAGGTCCCCACATCCTTGCAGGGAGTGGTGGCAACGTGGTTTGAATGGTCAGTTTTATTAGAGGCAAGAAAGGTGTCATAGAGGAGGAGAGTGTAGTTTTTTTCCTAATGACTTTTTTTAAGATATAATTCACATACCATACAATTCATCCATTTAAAGTGTAAATTTAGTGATTTTTTTGTGTATTCAGAGTTGTACAACCATCACCAAAATCAATTTTAGAATATTTCACCCCACCAAATCCTGTAATCTTTAGTCAGCACCCTCTAACAATCCCGCTTCTGCTCTAGGGCGACCACTAATCTACTTTCTGTCTCTATTAGCGTTTCTATTCTGGACATTTCGTGTACATGGAATCGTACAGTATGTGGTGTTTTGTGACTGGCTCCTTTCACTTAGCACAGTGTTCTCATGGGTCATCTGTGTTGTAGCAGGTGTCAGTGCGTCATTTCTTTTTGTGGCCAAGCATTATTCCTTTGTGTGGATGTACCACATTTTGTTTATCATTTTACCATCAGTTGATGGGTATTTGGGTTGTTTATATTTTTATTATTATGAATAATGCTGCTCTTAACTTTTGTGTAGACACATGTTTTCATTTCTCAGGTATATACATTTGGGAAATAGGAACAATTTAGTGTGGCTGGAACTAAGAATGGAATTTCAGGGTCATGTGATTTATTATTCTATGTTTAACTTTTTGAGGAACTGCTAGACTATTTTCCAAAGTGGATGTACCATTTTATATTCCCACCAGTGATGTATGGAGGTTCCAGTTTCTACACATCTTGTCTATACTTGTTATTGTTTGACTTTTTGATTATTGCCATTCTAGTGGGTGTGAAGTGGTATCTCATTGTGGATTTATTTGCATTTCTCTGATGACTAAAGATATTGAGCATCTTTTCACGGTTTTTTTGGCTATTTGCATATCTTTGGAGAAAATTCTACTCATATATTTTGACCACGTTTAAATTGGGTTACTTTTTGTTACTGAGTTTTAAGAGTTCTTTTTATATTTTAGATACAAGTCCATTATCAGATACATGATTTGCAGTTATTTTCTCCCCTTGAGTGGGTTAGTCTTCATTTTCTTGATGGTGTACTTTAGAAGAAAAGTTTTTAATTTTGATGAAGTCCAGTTTATTTTTTATTTTGTTGCCTCTGCTTTTGGTTTTATATTTAAAAAATCATTGTCAAATCCAAGGTCATGGAGATTTATGCCTATGTTTTCAAATTTTACAGTATTTGCACTTAACATTTGTCTTTAATCTGTTTTGAGTTATTTTTATATATACAATGTTACATGGAAGCCCAGTTTCATGTGGATATGCAGTTACCTAATTATCCCAGGACCATTTGTTGAAAAGACTATTATTTTTACATTGAATTGTTTTGATACCCTTGTCAAAATTCAGTTGAATATAAATGTGACGGTTTATTTCTGGATTCTCAATTCTGTTCCATTAATATATGTGTGTGTGTATGTGTGTGCGTGTAAAGCAGGGGTGTCAAACTCATTTTAACCAGGGGCCACATCAACCTCACGGTTGCCTTCAAGGGGCTGAATGTAATTTTAGGGCTGTATAAATGTTACCACTCCTTAACTAGGGGCAAGGAGCGTGGCACTACCAACAGGCAGAAACAAGGTGCGAGGCCCAATAAAACAAGGTGGAGGGCTAGATTTAGCCCACGGGCCTTGTATTTGCCACCTGTGGTATAGAGAGAGAGACATGTATATATTTGCCAGTACTACAGTCTTGATTCCTATAACTTTGTAGTAAGTTTTGAGATTGACTTGTATGTATTCCAATTTTGTTCTCTTTCAAGATTGATTTCTGAGTCCTGTGACCCAGCATTTCTGTATAAATTTTAGAATCAGCTTGTCAATTTCTGCCACAAAAAGCCAGCTCAGATTTTGATAGATTATGTTGACTCTGTAGATCAGTTTGGAGAGTATTGCCATCTTAACAATATTAAGTTTTTCAGTCTATGAACACAACATTTCTTTATATTTAGGTCTCCAGTGGCTTTCAACTTTTTATGATTTTATAATTTTGTAATTTTCAGTGTCCCCAGTATTATTTTGTTAAATATATTTCTAAGTATTTTATTGTTTTTTATGTTATTGAAAATTGAGTTATTAATTTTATTTTCATGTTGTTTAGAAATGTTATATAGAAATACAGTTAATTTTTGTGTATTAATATTATATCCTGCAACCTTGCTGAATTATTTGCTTTAATACACAATCATGTCATTAGCAAATAGAAATATTTTATTTTTCTTTTCAGTCTACATGTTTTTCTTTTTTTCTTGCCTAACTGCCTAGGCTAGAACTTCTAGTAAAATGTTGAATAGAAGTAGTAACAGTAAACATCCTTGTCTTTTTCTTGATCTTAAGAAGGAAGCTTTCAATATACTGTGTTCACGGATAGGAAAAATTAACATCATTAAAACATCCATACTACCCAAAGCAGTCTACATACAGATTCAGCCCAATTCCTATGAAAATCACAATGGCATATCCCAGATCTAGAACAAATATTGCTAAAATTTATACAGAAC